TTAGGGTTATGCAGGGAGGACTACGGAGATCCATTCCCGCCCTGTTCTGCTAAGCATAAGCAAGATCAATTCTGTACTTGGTGCACTTGACATAAACTGTACTCTAGGAATTTCATGGCCTAGGGAATTTATGGTTTAGGTTTAGGGTTGAAGGTCTAGGGTTCAAGGTTTGGCGCTTCGTGAATCTTAAGTGGCGCAAAGGTTCCTCCATCCACCCTTAACCCTAAACCCTAAACCCTAAACCCTGAACCCTAAACCCTAAACCCTAAACCCTGAACCCTAAACCCTAAACCCTAAAGCTTCTGCACCCATCCGAGTGCCGGGCCGCTGGGTCACTGGGTGCTTCATCACCTCACAAGTCCCAACAGTGTCAGCGATTTAGGGGTACTGTAGGGGTTATATAGGGAACAAGGTTAAGGGTTTCCCAAAATTAGGGGTACTATAGGGTTTATGTAGGGTTTAGCTTTTAGGGTTTCGGCTTCGGTTTTACAATGTCATGCTGAGAGGTCTAAACCCAGTTTGTAGTGAATACTGCACAATGGGACCATTGCTGCTGATGGACAAACACAGGCATGACCCCATATAACCAAACCCCAGAAAATTGTGGTGCTGTAGTACAGTAAGGGTTATGAACGATGTTGCCCATCAAACATGGACATGCTCGTACGTAGCAAGACAAAACCCTTTACCACGGCATTAGCGCAGGCATTCTTAAACTTGAGCCGTATAGACCCCATGTATTCCCTGAACCAAAGTCAGTCCTAAAGCATATGAGCCATGGTCTAAACTCCTAGTATCCCCCTTAATAACCCCTATAGTAGTCCCCTATATAATCCCTATATAACCCCCTTTAAGGAGTTTAGACTCTAGCTCATATAGACATCAGGTTGACATGTTTCTCCGCCGCGAAAGATGAACGTATTCATGCTTATGGACTGCTTTTGGGGTAGCAACTACCCTCCCTAAACCCTACACCCTAAAGCTTACTCTTGATCGAGGAAATCTTGCACCACCTTAAAACCCTAAAGTCCCAGGAATTACAGCATTTCAGGCCCCTAGGTGGTGCAAGATGCCATCCATCAACAATAGGACTCTTCCTTGCAGCCCTCTTTTCACTTCTGTAACCTACCCTGCAGCACTTCAAAACTTTACATGCAGATATGGGAATATCCGAAAGTCAGGCTGCCTTGTATATGCCATCTAAGGTCTACCCTGAACCCTGAACCTTAAACCCTAAACCCCTAAACCCTGAACCCCTAAGCCCTAAACCGTCTAAGGTTTAGGGCTTATAAGGCTTACCCCCAAGAACCTCCACCCCGAAGTTTGGGAAATCCCATATACAAGCAGGTAAGTAGTGTAGACCCGTTAATTAATGAACCTTCTCTTCTTACGAGGGATTACAAAAGGAATCTTAATGTAAAGGCCCTTGAAAGGAGGGGGTTTATTAACCGTGGGTTTGCATTTATGTAACCCTAAACCCTAAACAGTAGTTTCCATGTTCTTTTCCATTATCCCCAGTATAACCCCAATATAACCTGTATTACAAGCCTAAGCGCTCTTGGCTTCGAGAAGCAAAAGGCCCCCTGCCCCCCCGCACCCCCCGCCTTGCGACACGCGGAGCCACCTTGTCAGCGTGCTGCTTCTCATGAGCTATATTGTCTACCGTTCAGGTATCCGCCTTTTTGCCCCTATAATACGCCCCTATAGAATCCCCAATATAACCCCCTTCAAGGAGTTCAGACTATGGCTCAAGTCGGCTAGAAATGCGACTTCGGATTTTGGGTTCATAGGCTTTACAAATGGGGAGTTTCCCAACACTGCGGGGCCCCCTTTTTGGGACTAACTAGACTAAGGGTTGCAGTATATTATGAGGCCGCCAACTTACCGAAAAAAAAAAGCACGGCTTAGTCTTTTTAGTCCCTAAGCCCTAAACCCTAAGAGCTTTGGGGCAAAAGATTGCACCGTCAAGCCAATCTTCCTCTTGGTATCTTGATGTCCTCAGTGTATCTACCATGTCAGTTAGGAAGGTGGGAGGGGGTCTTCAAGAGGGGTATGTTACATAGCTATCCACAGTACTCCCAGGCCCTAAACCCCAGACCCTAAACCCTAAACCCCAACCCTAAACCGCAAGACCCTAAACCCCAAACCCTAAACCCCAACCCTAAACCCTAAACCCCAAACCCTGAACCCCAACCCTAAACCGCAAAGCCCTAAACCCTAAACCATAAATCCCAAACCCTGAACCCCAAACAGCACTTCCTAAGGCACCCTAAGCTTCACCCCATAATCATCCTAAACCTTATAGTGCCCTAAGGGTCCAAGGACCCAAATAACGGGGTATTGGGGCCCAAATACTATAATATGAATGGTATTTGGGCCCTAAAACCTTACTATTTGGGTCCTTGGACCCTTAGAGGTAAGCCCCTTAGAGGTAAGCCCCTTAGAGGCTGCCTGTATGCAGTACTCGTGGTTTCCTGGGCCCCGGCCTGCACTGGCCAATCTCTTCATGCGCGCCGCATCGTCCCGCAGGAATGGGTTGATGAGGCGCCATTCCTGCGAAATCTTGTTCTCTCCGCGGCGCTTTGCGGCGGCCGGTGCGTCCTCCTTCTGCTAGTCAAGAGCCTTGGCGGCCTGTGCGTCCTTGTTCTGCTGGTCAAAATCTTTTCGACCGCCCATCTTTGCGTCTCCTCTGCTTTTCTTCTCTTTCCTTTGAGATCCGCGTCGTCTGAAACCCTGAACCCTAAACCCTACAGTAAACAGTCTGCAAAAACAGGAACTTCAACTTTAACCCACCTTTGCTGCCTTGCGCTCGGGGTGCCTTCACTCCCTAAAACTGACGCCTGAAGCGTTACCCCGGCCAGTAGTGTATGGATTGGGCACTTCCCCCTTACAGTAGCAGCTACCGCAAAAAGCCCGTAGGAACTCTAATGGCCCCCGAATACAACATCTTTCAGCGCAGGTTTATGGAGTTTTCAACTGGGCAAGTTCTAGGAGGATACCCTTACATACGGTTTATATAAGTGTTTAAGGATGGTGTGGAGACACTAGGACTAAACAAGAGCTATGTAAGGCATGTGTCGGGGAATTTATCCACCTGGAACTTCCTTAGAACAGGTACCCTAAACCCTTAACCCCTAAACTCTCAATCGCATGGAGGCCTCAGCTCCTGACTATGGAAGCTCGTTGAAATCTCTGAGGTTTTGAGTTTAGGCTGCCGAGTGTTTCAAACCCTGATGCTTAAGTTCCGGGTGTCAGAAACCTCATCCTCAAAATTATGGGCTTTATATGAGTGTTTAAAATCGTCCCCAACCCTGTCTAAAGTGCGGGGCTTACCCTTAACCCTAAAACCCTGCACCAAAAACCCAACACCCCAAGCCCTAAACCCTAAACCTTAAAACCCTAAACCCTAAACCTTAAACCCTACAACCTAAACCTGAAACCCTAAAACCC